AGTCGGACGCTTAACCGACTGCGCCACCCAGGCGCCCCTAGTATCGCATTTTCAACGAGCACGGTTTTTATGGCCACTTTGGTCTAAAGAACGTTTTGCCTTCCGGGGTATACTACAGAGCAATATTAGAAGCGGAGAAAAGTTACTGGCTAGACAAACAGTGTCAAAAATTATATTTATTTTTGACCCTGAAGTGGAGCGCGTGTTGATCTCTACCCGGCATGTTAATTAGAAGCAGAATCAGGTGACGTGTACATCTGTAAGTGACTGAATGAGGAAATCAACCTTCTCTAACGTCTTCGAGTGCCTTCTTTTTCACGAGCAGACTGTGAAAAGCGTGCCAGGAGCTAGAAATGCACTTCACATCCGTGGACTTGATTTGGTGCGTGTCAAAAGTGCGCCGAAGGCATTTATCGGAGGGCTCCAAATGTATGCCCTCATGCAGGAAAAATCAAGATCTGTCTTTGGTTAAATAAAAAAAAAAAAAAAAAAGTTACGCACAAGACTAACGGCTCACTTTTTGGGGAATGTCTGTTTTGTGCGAGGTCTTTTCGCCTTTGGTCCGTTTGGGTCTCCGGCGGTCTTTTCTTAATGACTAGAAATACTTGCTGTGTGCCCCTTCATGGCAGCACCAGGCTTTATGCTATAGAGGAGCGGGGATGTCTCGCCTGGTGCCCCACGCTGTCTCCCCACGGAGGCAAAAGGAACACGTGCAGGGACAGGTGCAGGTGCGGATGACGTTCCGTATTCCCTGCAGCAGCAGCTGTAGCCAACTGGCAATTCTTAATCGAGCCCTCTTCCCACGTCCCTAAAAATTGGTTGAATTTTCTATACATGTCCTTCCAGACATTCCTTTTATTTTATTTTATTTTTTTAATGTTTATTATTTTTGAGAGAGAGAGACAGAGTGAGAGTGGGGGAGGGGCAGAGAGCGAGGGAGACACAGAATCCAAAGCTGGCTCCAGGCTCCGGGCTGTCAGCACAAAGCCCGATGTGGGGCCCAAACTCACGAACTGTGAGATCATGACCCGATCCGAAGTCGGACGCTCAACCAACCGAACCACCCAGGCGCCCCCAGACATTCCTTTTATATAGACAGCAGGACTACATTGGACTAGGTCTGATAATATGGTAAAATTAGCAGTATTTACTTGCTGTCTTACTCTCAGAAGTGAACAAAGCAGACACCTAGGGTTTATAAGAGCAGTTGCTAGAAAAACGTCACATACTAACAATCAGTTTCGATTTTCAAATAAAGCTATTTGTTTAAGTACGTGATTTGTATTCGGGCAAAAGTATGCCAGTTTTTAGCATCCAAAAGATCATTTACATATGACTTCACGCAAGAGGCTGGAAGTGAAATAACTCCTCCCCGAATCTCCCCTCCACCACATGGGTTTGCACACGCTTGTGTCAGCACTCTCTAAAATATTAGTCATGAGCATGAATTTGTGTAATGTTTTTGCTCAGAGATTCGAGCTAAGTTACAATGTCTTATTAAAGACTACAGTCTATGAGGGTGAATTAAATATTCCACACTCCTCAGCCATCTGTCTTCTGTTTGCTGCTTCTTCCTTTTAAGTCAGCCCAGGAAACTTGGAACCCAAACAAGGCGCTGGAAATACATGTTGCCCTTTGGTCCACAAGACTCAAACTTCCGTGTTCCTTTCATTCAGATCTAACTCCAGGACCTTTAACTTGGGTAGGTCTCCCTCCTTTTAGGATTCATAACTGCGGCCTTTGAGATCCCTGAATATCAAGTCACTTGCTTAGAGCACCAGATAGGGCGGAAGACAAGAGTAGGTTTTCTTGATGTTTTGGTATGACCGTAATATCCCACCCTTATGATTTCTACTTACGCTGTTGGTCGTATGGATGAATCACTAGTCAAGGGGATGTGTCCCCTGGTTAAGTAGAAAAACACTTGGAAAGTGCCATCCATGACAATCCAGTGTAAAGCTGGACTTATTGTCCTTGACCAGTAATTTAACTAATGCATTCAGTAAATCCAGAGTAATTTAAACTTGCCCAGGTAAGAGGTGAATCTTGCTTTGGGAGAAGGAGACTTAGGATAACATATGAAGTGAAGTTTACTAAAACGGGCGTTAAGTGTCTCTTTCCAATAGCTTGTTCAGTCTGCTTCTCTTCTCAGAGGGTAGTGCCACCATCCACATGGTTTCCCTAGCCAAAAAGCAGGCCACTGTTTTTGATCCCTGCCTGTCTCTTCCTCCCAGGCTCCAAGTACTGTTGATTTGATGGGTGAGAAGTAACTTGCATCCAGTTGTGCTGTTGAGAAAAATAAAGCCGTTCTGTGCCCCAGTCCTTTATGTGAGGCCGGCCCCCCTCTCCAACCTCCTGCCCCCCCCCCCACCACCCTAGGAATTCAGGATCTTCTCTGTAACCCAAGGGTTTGTAGTTCCATAAGGATGTCTGGGGAATAATTATATATATATATATTGAGGTATGATGGACATAACCAAGCTGTATACATCTAACACATATAGCTCAGTGAGTTTGGAGATAAGTAGACACCCATGAAACCATCATCATAATCAACACCATGAACATACCCATCGCCTCCGAAAGTTTCTTCCCATCCCACCTATGTATGTGTGCACGTATATGTCTCTTGACGTGGACCTTTCTTCACTCACTGCAGTGAGCACTCTGTGGACCTTTTAATCTGATTTTATGTATCTTTTAATTCTGGAGATTTTCTTGTATTGTTTCTTAATAATTTCCTCTCCACCCTTCTCTCTTTTATCTTTCTGGTACCTCTGTTACGTAGACATTATTAGACTTTTTGGAATGCACTTTAATTTTCATATGCTCGCCCTCCAGTAACGTTTTGGGAGAGCTCCTCAGTTTCCCTTACAGCTGTCTTTTTTTAAATTTTTTTTTAACATTTATTTATTTATTTCTTTTCTTTTTTTTTTTTTTAACATTTATTTATTTTTGAAGCAGAGAGAGAGAGCATGAACGGGGAGGGTCAGAGGAAGAGGGAGACATAGAATCTGAGACAGGCTCCAGGCTCTGAGCTGTCAGCACAGAGCCGGACGCAGGGCTCAAACCCACAGACCGCGAGATCATGACCTGAGCCAAAGTTGGACGCTTAACCGACTGAGTCACCCAAGCACCCCTTTTTTTCTTTAATTTTTTTTTTCCTTACAGCTGTCTTAGTGGACTTTTTTATTTTGAATTTTGGCTGTCATGTTTTTAAATTTCAAAAGTTCCTCCTTCTTGAAGGATATGGTTGGTCAGTGAGCCTCACACAGGGTGATTGGGTGGCTTATATCTAATATACATCTCATGGTCTTTTCTCTAGAGGGATATCCTCATCCGCCTTTGTGGGGTGATCAGCATTATGAAGCTGGGTTTGGAGTAAGAAGAAATGACTGTAGGTCTCATTTTCCAGTGAGACTTTCACTTAACCTTTTGTTTTCGGCCGTGCTTTTCCTCTGTGTCTGGATCCCGTCAGGTGGCGGTCCCTCGAGCATTGTTCCTGCCCCCTAGAGGCAGGGGTGGTAATCGCCTGAATGGACCCGAGCCGCCCAGTGTCAAACTTTTCTTTTGTGTACTCTTCTAAATAACCCCCACCTCTAGGGGCGCCTGGGTGGCGCAGTCGGTTAAGCGTCCGACTTCAGCTCAGGTCACGATCTCGCGGTCCGTGAGTTCGAGCCCCGCGTCAGGCTCTGGGCTGATGGCTCAGAGCCTGGGAGCCTGTTTCCGATTCTGTGTCTCCCTCTCTCTCTGCCCCTCCCCCGTTCATGCTCTGTCTCTCTCTGTCCCAAAAATAAATAAACGTTGAAAAAAAAATTAAAAAAAAATAAATAACCCCCACCTCTTAAGCGTTCTCCCTCACTCCTGCCTCCTGTGCTGCCTGATGCTCCCTGTCCCTGCACCTGCTCGGGGTTGTGCAAGGGGGGTGGTCTCATCTCTCCTTGTCTCCCTCTGCACACCCTTGGGTTTTGCCTTCCTCTGCTCTGCTAAACCTTTAGCACTGTTCCACTGGCGTTTCGTCTTTGATTGCTGAAGTTTAGAGTTTCAGTTGTCTCAATTTTTGTAGATGGTCAAGTTTGTGTCTATTTCATGTCCTCTTTGTTGTTGCATTATGATTCGGACAAGAGGCTGAAACGTTCTTCTACCATCCTGAGAATAGAAGTCTCCTGTTTAAAGAACCATGTTACCCTAGTAGGTTTCTCAAGGGGTGAATATTACCAAGTTTTTATGTTGACTCTGGAATGTCTGGGGAGAGGCACCAGCGCTCAGATTTGAAACCTACCCAGGCTTCCCGTGTCCTTGCCAAACAGCGCCAGTTGGTTTCACGGGCCAACTTTGTCAAGTTAATAGTACTGTGTGCACTATGTAATTAGTGAGAAACTTGAGAGATGTCTCACTTAAATCATATTTTGAGGCTAACAGGTTCCTGACTGGTCATTTGAGCACACGAGAGAGCATTCCAGGAGACGACGTTCTGGGAGCTGTAGTGCTAGTTTCAGAGAGTGACTGTGGTAACTCAGACCCACACTGTGACGGGATGGGCACTCGGGTTTCCCCTGGACTGTGACAGCTTTTACTAATTTTATTTTCCACTGTTCTCAGACTCCATAGAAGAAGTGACATGCGACTAATTCCCGGTTATAGAACTGTACTTCTCTTGACCCTGTTCAGATGGTATAGGAGGCATTTTTTATCTGTTAAAGTTTGTTTATTGCCTGTGTTCACTGTGCACGATGTCACGTGTGCAAATTGGTCAAAGATACGTTCGAGACTAAGAAGTTTGCGAAAGACGTAGAGAGGGTATCTGCCATAAACCAGAATCACCAGCGTGATACCAGATCCTACTGGTTCATACTGGAGCATAAACAGAGGCACCAGAAGCCAGGGATACTCCTTAGGGTGCATGGCTCTCCTCCGGTCTCTGCAAGCCGCCGGCAGCCGTGCTGATGGCTCGGCGCCCAGCCTCCCTCCCTACTCATGCGCTCTTCTCGGCCCCACAGAGGGTGTTCGGAGCTCTGCCGGATCCCCATGGTGGAGTACAAACTGGACAGTGAAGGCACCCCCTGCGAGTACAAAACGCCCTTCCGGAGGAACACCACGTGGCACCGCGTGCCCACGCCCGCCCTGCAGCCGCTGTCCAGGGCGTCCCCGGTGCCCGGCACGCCCGACCGCCTGCAGTGCCAGCAGCTGCTACAGCAGGCCCAGGCTGCCATTCCCCGGAGCACCTCCTTCGACCGGAAGCTGCCGGACGGCACGAGGTAACGCCCATGCCCTTTCCCCAGGGACGGCGCTTATCAGACCCTGGGGCTGGAACTTGACGTTGCGGGGAGGCACTTCGGCTTTGGCTTGATGGGTTCTGGGTTAGCCTGTTCTGAACAAGCAGGCCAGGCAGGCGGCAGGGCGGGCCCCGGGTGGGGTGGTGCCTGGGATCTGTCCCCGCCCCTCGCCCGGCACTGGTGCAGGTGGCACGCAGGTTCTGTTCCAGATGCGCCCACCAGGGCGGCGACTTTTTCTCCGTCCTGGTCCTCCTGGTCACCTTGCTCCCTAAACCTTCCGGGGCACGATAACGGGGAAGGCATTCCCAGGAGCCTCTAGATGAGCGCAGGCAGTTTTAAGTATAAATAAAACTGCAAACTCGGGGACCGAATCCCATCTTCCTAATGTAGTATTTTAAGTGTAGCATTTTAAGAGGTCCCAAGGTCATTAGCACATCTTCGCTTTGTTCCTCTTATTTTAAGCAAGTTGAGTTAAACTTCAAGTTAAGTTTTCAATGACAGAATGCGCTTGTTTAAAAGTTGGCATTAGAAGCTGGTGAGAATTTTTAGGTGCATAATTCGCATTAGGTAGTTTTAAGGGAACAAAATGGTAAATTTGGCTTTTTGTGGTTAAAGCAGTTGATTTCTCCTGCTTTAGTTTTCGTTTTCTCGTAACTTACGGGCCATGGAGAGGCCATGAGTTTGTGCAGAGTGGCTGGGGGGGCTCTGGTATCTATTAGAGCGTTGGAAACAAGGATGCTGAGCCGGGCTGCTCACCCTCTCCCCACTCCGATTTCCTCATCTGAAAAATAAACCTAGTAATAAGAGAAGACCTCTTCAGGACATTATGAGGATTGAATCAGTCAATATGTGCAAACCGCTTAGAACCATTCCTGGCACATAGTAAGCCTATACAGCTATTAATGACAATTAGATTAAAACATGAGGTCTTTCTCCAGTTTATTCTTTATAGGTTGAATGCAGGAACGATGTGCCTTTAATTTGGCATTAAATTATCTTGGCTCTGGGCCTCCTCGCTCGGATGTCTGCTGAGTTTATAAACTCACCATATTCAAAGAAGTGCACGTGGGTAGCCCAGGTAAAAGGGCAGCATGTGGGAGGGACGGGGTCTCCAGAGCCTCCCTTTTTAATGCAGAATGTAGTAAATTATAGGGAAAAAACCTGGAGAGTTCTAGCAACAAAATGGAAACCTGGCAAGCACATCTTTATCAAGTGAGCTCTCAAGGGTCATACTTATTTTGGTGTATTTGAAATAAATAGGATTGCATTCAACAGATGTATGAAAATAAATGGTTTTGACCAATTTAGGGTTTTCCCTCCACATAGATTGCAAATACAGGACCTGAACGTGCCTTGCATGAAGCTTTATAGAACAAATGGTAGTAATGTTTTCATAATTCTGTATTCTTGGGGGTTTGTGTGCTGTCCTTCCATATTTCACCAGAATCATTCTCTGCACTTTAAGTCTTCAGATGGTGAAGGCTTGTTCCTGCCACATCTCCTTCCTGTGATAAATGGCCAC